TCCCAATTATATTGGTCACGCATCCTCCTCAGCAAGGCAATGTGTCAGAGGTGGAACGCTGCGGAATTGCCTAGTGAAGTATCCTCAGATTGTCTTTAGATTGAAGTCAATGAGGAATTAAATTTTATTCCTGATCATTGATTCTTCTTCATAGTGTGGGATTGATTTGGGGCAAAAGTGCCATTACATTTTACAAGATTGTTTGGCCCCATTGGTCTGTATCACTGTTTATGCTCCATAGGAGCTTCCTTCCACCTACTTCATCTTACCTAATCAGCATATCCTTTGATTTTGTTTTTTGTCCCTGCACATGTACTTAACCTACATAGCACTTAAATGGATCTACATTGTAGGAGTTCATAACAGAATCAAGATATCTGAAACTGAGTCTGACTTAAAAAAAGATTAAAGCTTTATACTAAAATGGAAGAGATTTAGGAAGGGAATGGGATGGGATCTGGGTAACATTTTGACTGATGAGTTTAAACTTTTTTCCAGTTTTTTATTTCAGTGGGGCATTAATAAACCCACTACTTTTTCTGTGGCACTCTTTTTGTAGCACCCAAGCGTTTAAGATTAACTTTAGGCCACTGGAATGTTGTGTGTGGAAGATTAATAGATATTGGCAGTACATCAGATCTACCCTAGGTTTGATTCAGATTCCACGAATTATAGAGTTCCTCATTTGGGTGCAATCACTAACAAAATGATGTGTTGTTATAAGTTTAAAAATGGAATTTTCATTTAATAGCAACATGCAGAGCCAAGCCATGTCCTCTCAACACAAAGAGTTCCACTGTTAATGAAAATAAAGAGGAATGAGATCATTTCTACCAGCCTTTCTATATATGGAAGATACATGGGGTCCACAAACCCAAGTATGAACTGGTTCTATGGTATTTCTATATGGTTTGTGTCCATTTAGAGAATTGATTTCCAAATTGGTCTAGGAGTGCTAGTACTGCTATAAAAAATGACATTGATTTCATAATAACTCCCAGAATAGACCTCTGCTCTGGTAATAAACTGTTCTTAAATTCTTAGAAAACAAAGTCATTCTGATTCATGATGAACTTTAAATGGGTATGACTCGACTTAACCTTATCAGCCCCTGATCGCTGAACAGAACAGTCTGAAAGTTAACTGGATGATACAGATTTTAATTTGGACAAATCAGCAATGTTTGAGTACTGTGCATCGGGGGAAGTTGTCTGGAGTTAAACTAGTTGCTCGTGTCAAGTCCGTTTTTGGATGGTTTGTAATGGAGTTCATATCTGGAGTTAAACTAGCTAATCTAATGGCCATTGATATTTTCTTCTTGAACAAAATATGCACAGTTCCATTTAAGATGTTGATAGCATCTCATCTTTGACTCCTTTCATTTTTATTATGGGAAAGTTAAAGTGTTGAATGTGAGTGACAGCTTGTCTTTTGTTTATGCCATCTGATGATCATGTCCAAAGCCCACTTCTTCAAAAGATTTTGAAAGTGTGTCGGTAACATGAGGTAACACAAGAGGCTTGGCTATCTCTTGTTTAAAAGTGATGAAAACACCATTGTTAATTATGCCCTCAGTAAATGCCGTGATTCTTTCTGTTACATTAAGTGTAGCCTACCTCAGAAGTTCTCCCATTATTTTAATTTTGAGCCAAGGAAATTATACAAATGGTGTAAACACACTTCTATGCCAGCGATGAGTGAGAGAAAATTCTAGAAAAATTGGTGCCCTATGATTTAAACTCTGTAGTGACAAATTTATTGGAATGTTACTGTCCATTGATGCATCCTACAGAACCACAGTATAATTCACAATGTTCTGAACTACTCTATAATCTCCCAGCAGAATGGTAACACATTTTTAACTTATTACTAAGTGCACATATATATTTATACATATTTCATCTTCATAATGCAAGGAATTATTAAACGTTCCATCAATGAAATTACCGGCATGTGTTATGATTATATATTATCCCACCACTGCACTTGGATCATCAAATCACTACACCGAATTTGTCACACACAAACAAGATTTCGACGTCAGAGACTAGGTTTTTCCTTGGAAATGTGAAACAGGAACTGGGGCTATTTCTGCATCCGAAACCCAGCTCCAGTGGGAAATTGACAGAGTTTTGGATTTTCTCCAGGATGACCCTTAATTGATGTGGGATTGATTCCTATTCAGTTACAGCTGATGAGAGTAGGATTGACTACGTGTGTCGGCCATCACTAATGCTGCTGGCTTTCCCAAGGAAGAGGGATTGTGCTGAAACCTAGTTGCCACTGCAGCCCGCTGTGAAGTGAGCTGTCCCAGGGGAGTCAGAGGGCTGGGGTTGGAGGGAGGTCTTCTTCTGCCTCCTTTTGGGAAGAAGGAGACCTTGTCGTGTAGCGGGCACACCTCCCCTTTCTGTGTCATCCTCCTCTCAGTCCAATTCCTCCTCAAGCCCTACCTTCTGCTCTTCCCTGATGAACTGTCCCATTCTGGAGCCTTTAAAGTCCACTGCTCTGCCCTTCCTATGCAGGTGTCTCCCGCTCATCTCCAGTGGCTTTGATTTCTGAAAGTACAGTGCCCACTTCCAGCTGGTGCTTCGGTGGAGGCTAAACAGCCTTGCCCACTATTCCAATGACCAAATGATGCCAGGAAGGTGATGCCACCTGAAATGCTAATGATCACAATGCTGCCTTCTCCACAGTCCGTGATGGACTTGTTAAAACTTTAACCTCAAAAGGTTGAGGTCCTCAAACATTTTAAAAAATAGAGATTACATTGACCTTTTTAAATTTAACCTTCATTTGCCCCAGACTTGGTCCTCGGCTCAGTGCAGCTGTCAAATGCTGGCCATCACCAAGTATGTTGGGAAAGTTACAGGCTTTTAATGAGCCCACAACAATGTTACCTGGCTTTATAATAGGTGCGGGCCTAACATAAGGCCCATGCTCTCCCTACCCTGAGGAAAATCAGTGAGGCAGAAATGAGAATAAGGCCTCTGGTAGCACAATCTTATGATCATGCTTTGATTTTACTTGCCTGCCTCCATTCCCATTCAGTCAGAGTCAGGAAAGTCTGGTCTCAGATCTGTACCTGTATATGTACTCTACATGTGTCTCCTCACATCTTCATTCATGTCAGCCTCTCCGTATGTCCTTCTGTTCCTTTCCTATCCATGTCCTATCCAACTTACGACTAAATGCACCTTTGCTATTTACCTCAATGACTCCAAGTGAAAGCAAGCTAAATATTCTCGCCAGACTCTGAGTAAAGAAGCTTCACCTGAATTTATTAGTGACTGACTTAAGGCCTGAGGCTCGGTCCCTTCTAATGATCATCACTGACGGTTGCTTAAAAAGGTGCTGCATTTAAGAAAGAGAGTCACTGGTAGAGATAAATTGGAAGGTTATTGATGTAGAATGCTGCTCCCAGTAGGATAGCTGCAGGGTGGGACTTCTTCCTGTGTGATTTCATAGCCCATTTCTGGATTTAGATTCATTTGTAAAAACAAACTTCTGACAGGTTGCTAATAACTAAAGAGAGTTCATCAGTCTAACGCCCTAGAATCCCCTCAGAAGCAGGAACAATACCATTTTCTTTAAAACCTGAACTAAGATTGAGGCCTGTAGCATGTTCCACTGGAGGAAGTCAAGGTCACTACTTAGCTCTTCTCCCTGAAAGTATGTGCAACTTTGGGTCACTGAAGTTTTTGGGAGTATTTTTCACCCAATTTTGAATTTACTTTGCTTAGTTTTATGAAGCAGTAAACAATTTTGCAAAGATGTATATTGATGTGGATTCAATTATGGAGGACACTTGTTTGAAATAGTTCTCATTTTGTCTCTGACCCTTTCAGTTTTATATACTGGTCCAGTAGCATCAGGTGAATGTGTCATACAGTCACTTAAAGAGCAATATACCAACATTAGGATTGGCCTTGCTGAAAATACCAGGAAATCTTTTTAATTAATTCACAGGATGAATTGTGGGTGTCGCTGGCTAGGCTAGTATTTATTGCCCATCTTTAATTGCCCAGGGGCCAGTTAAGCGTCAGCCACATTGCTGTGAGCCTGGAGTCACATGTAGGTCGGACCAGGTAAGGATGGCAGTTTCCTTCCCTAAATGAACCAGATGGCTCTGACAATTAGTAACATTCTCATGATTATTATTAGACTCCGAATTCCAGATTTTTAAAAATTGAAGTCCTATTCCAACATCAGCCATGGTAGGATTTGAACCTGGGCTCCCAAAACATCATCTTGGTCTCTGGATTAATAGTCTGGTGATAATACCACTGGGCCATTCCCTGTCCTTATATTTGTAATGTCAACATGGTAACAACTGCATCGTATACATGGGAAATTTGGTTGTGATGGGCCAAATCTGACAGGAATATTTACAAAACTTGAATGAATTGTTTAATCAATTACAAAGAGTCAGTTTGGCTAAAAAGTGAATTAACCGAAGGGTATGACGTATTTAGGGGAGGGGGTGCACTTTAAAAATAATATTTAGAGAAATATGAGTATAAATGTGAACAATGACTATGATAACAATAAATTCTTTTCTAACATAGTGCAATGGATGAAGAAACCAAAGTTTCGAGAACTCAAACTCTGATGGATGAAGATAATGATATTGCAGAGCGGCTGCAGAAACGAGAGGAACGACGCCAGAAACGTCTTCAAGAGGCCATGGAGCGTCAGCGGGAATTTGATCTTCCAGCGAAAGAGGAAAGCCAAGACATTTCAAAGGAAATCCGAAGAAATGAGAGGGAGGTGGAGGAGAACAATCAATGGAATAAATGGCGGCAAGAGCCAGAACCAGAGCCTGAACCTGAACCTGAACCTGAACCTGAAATGGAACCGGAGCCTGAACCGAAGCCTGCAATGGAACTGGAGCCTGAACCAGAACCTGAGCCAGAAATAGAACCGGAACCGGAACCAGAACCAGAGCCAGAAATAGAACCAGAACCAGAACCAGAACCAGATGAGGTGGTGATAGCGAAGCAGGAGATTGAAAAGCCGTACCAAATTGAAAAGGTAAAATGAGCAACACTATGAATAATATGCCAGCTATCGCTTTCAAATGTATTTCCCACAGCTCAGATTTTCTAATTGCATGATTTTATTGAGATTTTAGTTTGAGTGCAGGTCTAGAAATAGGACAGATGTTCCAATTCTTATCACCATGAGAGCATTGGGTCACATGGATGGACAATCTGATGGGGAATCACTGCTCTTGTATCGTAGCCCACCCAGCTTTCCATCCTTTAACCTGATGGGTGGAAAATCAAAATGGCTTAGTATCTTTACCTACTAAACCATGGGGAGCTACCCTCTGAGTCTGCAGTTGTGGTGTTATAGCCACAGGGACCTGGGATCCAGAAAGCTACGTTTCCATGCTGTTAATTGTTGTTCTGCAGGTGGGCTCCAAAGATGTATTTTTATCTCTCCCCTACGCAACACCCAGCCATCCCATCCCTTTCTTGGCACAGGGGCAGGGAGGGTAACCTCAATCTGTTTTCAATTAGCTAACAACATGCTCTTTAATTTCAAAGTGGCTGTAATTTCGGCACTTTTCCTTCTGACTCTAAAATAATGTGCAATCAATTTATTCCCCTGCCTTTGACTGCGCATTGCAACCTCCTGTTTGTTAATGCCTGTACATATTTCCATTCTCTGCACATTTCCATATACAGTGCCACACTTCGGGTAATTTGTGCTACAGGTCCATATCCTCTGCATATTAGATTAATGTGAAAGAACTCAATTTACTTCTAACCATTAATGGGCAGCGGTGAGAGGAAATGTTTATCTTGTCTGTCTGGATGGGATTCAAATTGAGCTCCAGCTTGGAAGAGCATTGCTGGTGCTAGAGGATCACTCATTACTTTCTGCGCTTGTAATACATTGTTTTATTTAAGTTTGCTTTAGGATTTTGCCAGATTTCTCTCAAGATTGAAACTGTGGGGTAGAAATTCACCTTGGGCAGTATTGTGAGATGGGGACTAACAAAAGTGATAACTTGTATTTCCATTTGCTTTTCCAAAGTTGGATGGTAAATGGTCTGCCAGATCACTGTCACCCAAGACACATTTCTACCCCTATACAGTCTTGGGTGACAGTGACCTAGCAGACCATTTACCATCCAACTTTGGAAAAGCAAATGGAAATACAAGTTATCACTTTTGTTAGTCCCCATCTCACAATACTGCCCAAGGTGAATTTCTACCCCTATACAGTCTGAATTTGGGGAAATACAGCATAGATTTCATACTAAATAAGATCAGCTGAGGGCATGTGGCAGGAAGTAGAAACCTCTTTTTGTGACCAAATAACTTGGTATCTTTACCTCACGGACTATGAGGAGCTACCCTCTGAGTCTGCAGTTGTGGTGTTATAGCCACAGGGACCTGGGATCCAGAAAGCTAAGATTCCAGCCAAAGTTCTTGCTGTTGATTGTTATTCTGTTTTTACTGTGTGTACAAACTCAGTGAGAAGAGGTTAAAGGACACAACACCAGTGAACAGTCAGTCATCATTCTCCTTGTACCAGGCCAGGTCATTGGATCTGAATCCATGTTAGAAGGAGAGGGAAAAATGCATCTTCACTGATAAGACCACGATTACATTGTACAAAATGATAGAGTAGGTATTATAACAGTCATGACAATAAACTGAGTTTGTAGAGCCCAGTGGCTACTGTTACGATAGGGAAATCGCTGAACTCCTCTGATAGTTAAACCAAAATATAAGCCCAACCTGTTATGATGGGAGTAGAGGTTCTCCTCTAATAATTACCCTCAACACCCAGAGAAGCTCACCTTTCCCCTCGTAATCTATTAAGAGTGGTTAAAAGAAAGAAAATCTCCACTTTACAATTAATAAGAAACAATTTATTTATCTAATCCAACAATGAACAAATTAACAGAATTACTAACAAACTGACAATTCCGTCCTCAGACTACTAACTACCCCCTAACTGGTCTAAATTTTACTGGAAAGCTGTTTAAATAAAGACAAGACCCACTAATATAAACCCAATTAATAAGAAGCAATAAATTATAACTTAATCTCTCCAAGTTCGCACAGACTGTTTTCTGGAATATTCTGGTGTTTCTGGTCTCTTCACAAACACCTTTCTTGCGTTAATTCTGCTGTCAGGGATGTTTTATCTCAATAATTTCTTCAATGAAGACTTTAAGCTAAAATACCATGATACCTTTGATTAATTGGATGGGCTGCATGGTACTAACTCTCTCTTTTTTGATGACTCTCTCTTTCAGTTGGCAGTTGGCTTTCTCCAATTTTCCAAATACCCTCATCTTATATACCTGTAATGACATAATCAGATTCTTATAATATGATTGGTTTCAAGTTGTTAACACCATCAGATTTAAGTTCAATTGTCTTTCTGTATCTAGGTGCTTGGTTTAAAATAATTGGCCAAATTCAAACCTGTTGTCTTGGAAAAAAGTGCTGCTTGGCTGCTCTATACACAGTGTTTCCATTCGGACATTCTCTGTGCGCCTGCATTTATAAACGACCAAGCACAGATAAAGCACAAGCTCTTAAAGGGACCACGGCACTCTTTTCCCCATGATCATTTTTACCACCAAATTCTAACTTCTTGCCTTCCAATTCATGAATACGCTACCCAACTTTGTAACATGACCATTCAGATTTTCTCACCGATTTATTTGGCAAGTGTTATGTCAACTCCTCCATCCTGCTGCCAATCCCACAATGGTCTTGTTGAGTCCCAACTCTGCGTCCAAGGCATTGACATGTGTCTGTAATTAGTGGAGACAGGCAGTTTCTATCGTCTGTAAGCAATTGGAACTCTCTGAATCCTGTGTACAGGTATCCTCACACTCTGGACAGGGAGAGAATGATTCTAAAGATATCAAGAGTAGTTTTTTGACAGGAGTGAAAGGAGAGATCTTAGAAGCAGCATGGCAGCACCCAGATAGCGAACAGTAGATAGCCCAGCTATAACATTCTCACCTATAGTTTTAATGAAGAGGAAGTTTGAGGCGTTTAAAATAAACCACTAATGGAATGTCAACATGAGGACAAATCTTTTAATTCATGTAAACTTACAAAAGTCTACTTTAAACCTAAGACCTATGCTTATGGCTTAGACTGAGCTTAGAACCAAATATTTATAGTTATATTTAATTCACAATCCCAATTTTTCAAAGTTACATAGAATGACATGAACCTTGCACTGAGAAAATTGAGCATTTGGTTCAGCAGGCCTAGCCAGCATTTATGTTCTACAGAAGTCTCCTCCTCCTCTGTCTAACGTTATCATAATATCCTTCTATTAACTTCTCTCTCATGTAACAAACAAAAGATTATTTTATGTCAAAAACAATAACTAAATTTTCTGGGTCCTTTAATTAAATAAACATTACTGTCGCGCTTAGGTGAGTCCAGTAGGCTGTATTGATAGCACCCTTGCCAAGTCAGAAGGTCATAGGTTCAAGCCCTGTTCCAGGATTTCAGAGCCCAATCTCTCCTCATTCTCCTGTTGGAGGCTGCAACATGTAATGAGTGCACACTCACTCTGCCCAATGGGGTAGACTCAGGAATCCTGGGTGACAAAGACCAGGGGAGTTCTTCCAATAATCTGGCCAACAGTTCTTCCACAACCAAGAACTATTTAATAGCATATGGAGTCTTGCTATGTGCAGCCTGAGGCAGCTAAACAACTTTGATTGCAAGAACATAGCCAAGAATCACTCAATGTTCTAAAGATTGGATAAGGGTAAATATGAGTGCATGTAATTTCATTTTAAATCTTTCTCCCTTTCTAAATAGACCTTTCCACAGGTGCAGCAGGTGGTAAAGAAGGCAAATGGTATGTTGGCCTTCATCGCGAGTGGTTTAGAGTACAGGAGCCAAGGATGTGTTGTTGCAGTTGTACACAGCCTTGGTGAGGCCACACCTGGAATATTGTGTGCAGTTTTGGCCTCCTTTTCTGAGGGAAGGATGCTCTAGCTTTTAAGGGAGTGCAGTGAAGGTTTACCAGGCTGATTCCGGGGATGGCAGTTCTGACATTTGAGGAGAGGATGACTAGGTTGGGATTGTTTTTGCTGGAGTTCAAATGATTGAGGGGGGATCTCATAAAGATTTAGGAAATTCTAACAGGACGAGACAGGGTAGATTCAGGGAGGATGTTCCCGATCGTGGGTGTGCTCAGAACCAGGGGTTACAGTACGAGGATTCGGGGTAGACGATTTATGATGGAGATGAGGAGACATTTCTTCACCCAAGGAGTGGTGAGCCTGTGGAATTCATTACCACAGGAAGTAGTTGATGCCAAAACATTGAATGTATTCAAGAGGCGGCTAGATACAGCACTTGGGGCGAATGGGATCAAAGCAGCATAAGGCTATTGAGTTGGACGATCAGCCATGACCGTTGAAGAATGGTGGAGCAGGCTTGATGGGCCGAATGGCCTCATCCTATTCCTATCTGCTATGTTTCTATGTATTACTTCTGGTAAAGGGAATTGTTGAGGTTGCTGGCACTGGGGAAGGACAGGGAGAATGGGAGAGCAGTAGAGCATAAAATTAGAGCTCTGCTATAATGTAGAGCAGAAATATTAGGTTCCAGTGAAAATATGCTCATAACTGCAAGAAAATAATTTAAAAGTAAACAATTATGGACTTTGGCAATCTAACAAGAAACTAATCAACTGATGACAACTAAGAATGTACTCACTGAATTGTATCAGGAACAAAAACAGA